CCATTGGTATTGAATATAGAGCTTTATCAATGGTTTGAATTACCAACTGGTAGTCAGGCGGTTGCTTTTAAATATTCTAGTTTTAATTTTGATGAACTGAATAAGTTTTTTGATTTGGATAAGTACAAATGTGGATGTAGCTTGTTGTTATGGTATTTTTAAGTGTGCACTATCTAATATTTGCGCCAGTCATATTGTAATGCTTAAATCTTAAACCTTTAAGCGTACGTCGTTCCCTAAAGGACTCAAACTGAAGAATTAGTTCTCCAAAAAGCCAAAGGATTCTAATTATGTTTATTTAAGTTAACTAATTGTGAATTTTTTCTTAGAATTCTATTCTGGTGATGATTTTGTTCCCGAAGATCTCTTGTCAAATATGGATATTGCCATCAACTTCTGGAAATTAATTTTGACAGACGAGGATGTAGCTAATGGCACTAAAAAGCTTAAACTATCCACTAACATTGATGTAGTTACCCTGTAGGGAAAACACGAACTAGTGAACCAAATTTCTAGTTCAGTACTAGTTCTTCTTCGCCAAAAACGAACCAGTCCGATAGTAACTAGGCCCGCACCAGGCCAAAAGCAGTGAAATGTGGTACTTTCACTAAACTATTTTAATTCAAATTTTAAACGCAGGGAAGGTAATCATTGCGAGAAAAATAATTTAAATCAGCATTTAATCATTATTTTATGAATTATTATTGAGTTTAATTTTTTCGCTCAAACGGAAATAACTATTATTTGATTTTTATTTTTGGGATTACAAATAATGATTATTTTATGAAAAGTTTGGGCTTATTTCTCTTATAAGGGTGCGGCTACCTCTCAAAAGGATACGTCGGTAATCATGATGGTATAATTTTTGAGTTGCTTAATAATCATTATACTTAGTGATTCCATAAACAAAGGCCAAGATCCTGAAGGACAATTGAGAAAGGCAATGCAGTTGCAGAAAAAAGAGGCATTTAAAAAAAAAGTGTCAAAATAATTATCACTTTCTCACTAAATTTATTTAAAAATGCAAGTCACCAGAGCTACCTTTTTTTTAAGAAGAGGCAAATTAATATTTTTTTATGCAGTCCAGCACAGCTACCTTAATACAGTCAGTCAATAAAGTTTAGGTACAACGAATTTTTTACAATACGGGCAACTATTTTTTAAATATTTTAGCTGTCGGTAATTTTTCATAAAAATATGGTCAATTCTACAACGAAATCCCCAAAAATCAGAGTTCCAAACCTTGTGCAAAATTTAAGAAAATTCTGCAAAATTTCATTCAATAATTCAGAAAAAGTTTTTTAGTCCATTCAATTTTAGTATAATGAAGTGCAAGTGTGAGGAAGCTAGGACTTACCAAACAACAACAAAAAAAAGGCTAAATATCAATGATAAGTCCTAGCTACCTCAAACTTGCACTTTGTTATACTAAAATTGAATGGGCTAATAACTGAGTACTTAACTTTTTTCTAAAGAGTGCAAATTGCAATACTTCGATGGAAATTCGCAGAGTTTTCTTTAATTTTGCATAAGGTTTGAAACTCTGATTTTTGGGGTTTTTGGTGTAGAATTAACCATATTTTTATAAAAAATTAGGGAAAATTAAAATATTTAAAAAATAGTTGCCGGTATTGTAAAAACTTCACTGTACCTAAACTTTATTGACTGGCTGTATATCTTATTTAAGTTAAGTACGACAAAAACTTTCGAAGTACTTCATATACATATAAGCTTAAAAAGAACTGAATTTACTTAAAAATCAATATGCTTAAATTTAGACAAGTAACTATTTAAGTTTAATACTACTACTACTACTAATGTGGTCTTTAAAATTTTAATAAATGCGTTTAAACATTTGTGATTGTATTGTCCTTCCTTCAACCGATCGTATTTAATATAGAAGGGAAATGTTTCGACAAGCCTGATTAGAAATATAGATCTAAGGTGACGAATTTATAACAGGTTGGGAACTACATATTAAAAATGGATGCAGATCGAACTAGATCTGATCTGTCGAATTAGGAACTGGTTCGGAACTAAAGAAAAGGGGATGCAGAACGAACTAGATCGCATCTTTCGAATTTGGAACTGGTTCGGAACTATAGAAAAAGCGATGCAAAACGAACTAGATCTTATCGGTCGAATTTAGAGCTGGTTCGGAACTAGAGCCAAAGGGATGCAACGGGGGACAATTGACACTTCCTAGGACATCGCAATGTTAAATTCGCCAGTCGCTAGCATGCAAAAGAGAATTAACGCGTACTAGTCATGGTTCCAAACGCACTAGAACCGAACTAGTTCCGCACTAGTTCGTTTCCCTACAGGGTATGTAGATCAGGCATGCCCAGCGTAAGCAAAGCTCTATAAGCAATTGCCAAAATTTTGGCAGCGTTGGCCTTTCTGGCCACACAATTCAGACAACTCGATAAATTCAAACAACCCAGACCACAGATAGTATTTAAAGTCTCTGTATGATTCCTCGGTATTCCCAAAATACATCTTAGGTTTTTTTCTAGCACGTCGAGATTTTTTATTGGTGACATGTATGTATATTTTAGAATTTCCAGCAACTTGCATGAAAACCCCATAAATAAACAAAGTAAATAGAAAAACTGGTAACAGCCGGTTTCACCAACAATTTAAATGGAAAATAATTTTTTATTTTCTGTCAATTTCCATATAAAATTAAAAAAAAATTAAAATCATTTTTCACTTAAATTGCTTTCATGAAATTGGCTGTAAAAGTTATTTTCTTAGCTAACGCGCATTACCAGCATTAACTTGGAAGGTTTAGAAAATACCATTGTCCAATATTTTCCCAACATTGACTATGAGGATGTCTGCAGCTGGATAACAAACCCCTTTTCATGTGACCCGAAAAGCAAACCTACTGACATGACAAATTAAGCTTTTGAAAACCTTCTGGACATCAGTGAAGACAGCACTTTGAATATTAAATACTACGAAAGGAACCAAGAGAGTTCTGGATGCAAGTGTATGCAGAAAACACTGCTGTTGGCAAGGTTGAATTAAAAGTACTAGTGACTTTTACTTTCACATTTCTATGTGAGACTGCATATTCAACAAATGCTTACACAAACAAGTAGTTTTTAAGCACAAGCAAAACCGACTTCAATTCTCATATAAAAATTTAAGATTACCGTTAATCTTTTCATGATTCAATGATAGGATGTATACCAAATTAGAATGGAACCACCTGTGAGGTAACACCTTTCCTATAAAAAAATAATTATTGTAATCGGTTAACGTGGTCCAAAGTCATGCGGTAACATATCTACATATAAAAAAAAAATAATAAAAACATATTCCGACGAATTGATAACTTTCCCCTTTTCGTGAAGTCGGTTAAAAACAAATGCTCCAACAGGCTTTCAGCGTCAAATGATTTCAGGGTAAAATTGTCAAAGGTCCCAATAAACTTAAAGGCAATAATGAAATAATCAAAACAATTTCAGTCCTCACATTAAAGCTAAAGGAGCATAAAGTTTGCATATTGTTTTCTTGTTTTGGTAGACATTTGAAGAGTACGGGTGTCGCGAAATTTTTTTTAGCACAACAAGGATGCCGCGGTGGAAAGAGTTTGGGAACCCCTTGTCTAGACAACTAATCAAATACTAGTTATAGGCGTGGCAGGATTGTAACGGAGATTGATGGACTACACACTTCTGAAGCCTTCTCCCACGCTCTAAGGAGTGGAGAGTCCAGTCGTGTATACACAGTTACCAGCATTAACTCATGCTCGAGAGTAGGGTTGGTGAAGGTGTAAACTTAGTACACCTAGCAATCTTCCTTAGCTTTCGTCTTCTGGACCAATGTAGCGTTTTTCAGACGGAATTGTTGGCAATCGGCAGGGCCACAACATTGGTAAAGTGTGATATGATATCCCAAGCTGATATCTACATTTTCTTTGACAGCCAGGCGGCAATCAAATCCCTCACGACAGCCGACAACCTGCATTGTAGCCATGAAATGCCACACATTTTTTAATAAGATGGCTGAGTAATTTCGCTCAAAGCTGATAGAGGGGAATTGTAAGGAGGACGAAATGCTGTGAATTAGCACTAAACTTCCTATTGAGGATATGAAGGATAAAATATAAGCATCCTTAAAACCTTACAAGCTACTTATTTCCGAGGGGCTTACAAAAATAGCGAACGACAGATTGCATTACGAAATCACCTGTAAAACTGTAAGCCAATTATGGACAGTGCTCAGCGTTAAACGCACTGGCTTACTACACTGAGGGAAATAATGCACGGCAAAAATAAATACTTTATATTTGATTAATACTTGATATTTTATTCGTTTAAAAATTTTCATATTTAAAAATAATATTTTCATAATAAAATTTAGCACTCACGTATGTATTTGAATGTTCACATCTGAGTATGTATGTATATGAATGAACCCAGCACGGCATAGCTGACCCAATTACCATAGAAAAATTAATTTATATGTACTTATATACCAATTAGCTTCAAATTGATGATTAATCCTCAAATAGGCCAATTTTTTTATGAGTTGAAAAATTCAGGAATGGGTGATTTTAGCACGAGAAATCCAAAACTGATGTCCATTTCGATCTGTGACAGTAACTTTTTCCTACAGGGGAGAAAAACCAAGACCGTCCGGAGACGGGCTCGCCGATATACTTACGCATACTTTCAGCTTTCTCTTACACAATGTTGACCTACGAACCGACAATCCCGTCAGCAGGCGGTCAAAAATGCAAGCCGGTCTATAGACGGTCTGTGTTCGAAAGCAATTTTCTCCATTTCGGATAGTCACACAATTATAAAACTTATATCAAAATACTGTGCTTTTAACTACGAAACCCACTGAATTTTTTTGTATCAAAAAAATTTTCAAATGAAAAAATTTCTTTAATTACGAAATTATTAAAAAGCAAGAAATAATTAATTTTAACCATGTTTTCAAAATCTGTAATTCAAGGGTACGATTTCTGTCTAAAGATCGTGCCTTACGAATATAGAAAAATATTATTATAGGTGCACTAAAAAGGTGTTTAGTTAACGACCGTCTGGAGGCGGTTCTGCCTACGAGAGGGTTAATCACCTAGCAGGCTCATTGAGTTAAACCAAAAGTACTCAGATATTTGGAAAAGCACTAGTCAAGATACGGACACTGAATCTTCTACTTCTGCTGCAAGTTCTGATGAAGCTGCTCGCAAAACTAATAAGTTGGGATTAAAACCTTCTCAAACACCATTCGTTTGACACTAATCTTGTAACATTAGATTTACTTATTTAATTGTTTTGCTATAGATATATGGCATCGACATGATTTTTCTCCCAACACCTTCAACTATTATCTCCACATTTCAGCCAATTTATACTAAACCATAATAAATTTTTCGCGAAAACCTCCCTCATGAATCACATCGTCCACTTCTGGAAACCCGTAATAAAATCGTATTGGTAGTTTTTGGGTTTAACGCATTCAGACAGGCAACATATCGCTAGCTTAGAAAGAAAAGTTGCTAAGTCCCATTTTAAAAATTTTACAGGAGAGGAAACAATCTTCATTTGAATCAACCATTTTGCACGTTTAAAGCAAAGCAAAACTCCATAAGAATCAGAAGGATTCGATATTTATTAAAAGATGTCGTATTATTTTGGCCTTATAGGATTTGCGGTGCTTCTTTTGGACTTAGCAAATTTTCCTTTTATTGCTTATGAAGAGGAAAAAATAAAACAAGTACCTTTATAATTTTCGAAACGATGCGTATTCAATTTCTCTAGCCTCCTATATCAAAATATGAGTTTTCATAAAAAGTGGACTTAGCAACTTTTCACTCTAAGCTAGCGATATGCTTTAGGGCACTTCATTTTATAATATTTGGCTGCGTTTCTTTATACATTCCCATAATCCCATTCCCGGATAATCCCATTTCACAGCCGGAATAAACAGAATGCGTTTGAATTATACTTTAACATCTAAAGAATAAGTAAACAGAAAAGTTTATTCCGAACGTTCAGAATTAATAAAGAAATGCAGCCTCTACGTATAGAGGAGATAAGAAAATGATGTGTAATATTATGCTTCTAAAGAAAAGGATCGGTTATTTAAAAATAATTTTTCTTTGTCAGTTCATAAAAATCTAAATAGCCACTGTTTTTTACAGTCGTCAATTCTCTCACACATTCTTCTTTATCCGTTACAACACACAAGGCTCTTTCACCCTGGTAAAATGGACTCTGTGGCCGGTAGTAATCTACTTCTTTCTTATTTAGCCAAACGAACAAATCATCAAGACAGGTGCATTGCCATGGATTGCCTTCCAAAGAAAACTTTACCAGATTGGGAAACTCTCTGTCAGTCATGTGCGGTAGAAATGATAACTTATTATTGTCCAGAAGTAGCTCCGCTACATCGTTTAGAACAGGAAGCAACTCAGTCGTTATTTCTTCAAGTAAATTATTTCCCAAATGAAGCTTTCTCAGACGTCGCAGCGGCTCCAATGAGCGTACATCCAATATGGCCAAGTCATTGTTGCCCATCGAGAGATGATCCATGAAGGGCAGTGCAGCAAAGGCAAGCGAATGCAAGTGCTTCAAGCTGTTGGTCTTTATTGTTAGCTTCTGGAAGCGCGGCAAGGCCACTGTGCCGAAAGCATATGCATTCAGCACCTGTATATTGTTTCCTGATAAATCCAGCGATTCAAGGGCGGTAAGGTTTGCGAATGTGTTGGGGCGAATAGCGTCGATATCATTGTCATGCAAATAAACTTTACGTAGTGCCGTCAAACCCTCGAAAATTTCAGCTTGAAGCGCGATCAATTTATTGCTGGAGAGGTTTAAAATTTGCAATTTTCGTAGCGGCGCGAACAGCTGTACTGGCAAGATGCCTAAATCATTTGAACTCAGGTCCAAGAACTGCAATGGCGCTTTGTCTAATCCACGGAAGGTTTCAGCGGATAGCCGTTGCAAAGCGTTCGCGGCAAGATTGAGTACAGTCAACTTTCCGAGAGGCTCGAATGCACCGCTTTTAATATAGTGTATGGAATTAGTGGTGAGACGCAAGTGACGTAGTTGCGGCAACCCAGCGAAGTCATATACGGACAACTGAGACAAAGAGAAAAAATATTTGTGATTTATCAGCAGCACTCTTTACAATGCAATGTACCTTTTCGATGGCGTTATCGCTAAGCGTTAGCTCTTTGAGTCTACTGCAGGTGCCAATCGACGCGTTAGTTAGCGCATTGTTGTCCAGGTGAAGGAATTCCAGATGCGAAAGCTCCGCAAACGTGCCTTGTTCAATAAGTCCTATATTATTATGTGAAAAATTTGCGACTTTCAGTTGCGGTAGGCGTCGAAAATTTGCTGCATTCAACTTTTGAAAGTCGTTCCAGCTGGCATCAAGATACCTAATTTTAGCTGCATTGGGAAAGTAGTGCGTCTTCAAATCTTCCAATTGGGCATTCGTTATATTCAATCGCTCCAAAGCTACGAACGCTCTGAATCCTTCATCGCCGAGACTTAGAGCACCAGACTGCGACAAATCTAATTCAACGATCTGCGCCCACCTCGATTTTTGAAGTTGCTCGCCAGATTGCGCTGCAAATGATAATGCAACTTACCAAGCTGCTTTCATATATTTTTATACAACTCAATACATATGTGTGTACATATAAATATACACATACAGCCCCGCTCACCTGAAAAATCAAGGAACTCATTTTCGCCATTTCGCACAGCAATACCCCGCCAACTAGCTGTCAACTCCTCTTCTATTTCAATCAGAGTTTGCACTCCTTGACAACTGTAGATTCCAAAGTTGTTTGCACCTTCTACCGCAGTGCATTTATGAGCTTCTAACTGAAGCCATTGTTGAGAGTTCATCATGATTAAAATCACTATGATTGGAAACTTTTTTTGAATCATGATTTCTTAGTTACTGAAGCGTCTCCCATGAATCGCATCCGAACACTGACGAGTTGATGCGTTGTCTGAGATATATTTACTCAATTCAAAGCGGGTATTATTTTCGTACTTGCGGTTGTTTTCGCTGAATTCACTCAAGAGATCTTTGGTACATAGTTTTCTCTTAACATACAGATTCATGTATAAGCTCATAAATGCATTTACCGCGGCCTGGTGTCATATTTTAGAGCGCGTTTTAAGTGAGTTATGGCCATAAGTTTTGCTTATATTTCACTATCTATTTCATAGGAGCACCTTTAAGCCGGGCTTATGACCTAGCGTATTCGCGTGACGGGATGCGATTAAAATCGCTAATAGCGATCAATTATACAAATTCATATGGCGGTGATTATGGTGCTGGCTTGGAGATGCTCAACAAACTATATGATTCGATTTCGCTTCGTTTCAGAGCTAAATTTACGAAACAAAACTCATTAGTTGACGTTGAATAAAACATCAATCGTTAACATCGAAACAAAGATAAATCAACGAAAGGTTGTTGTATGCCATTGCCAGCTCACTGTTACACCTATCACCTAAATGCATGCTACAACTTCGGCATTAACGCTTGAATTTCTTTTCGTTAAAAACCAAAATAGAATTATTGTTATAATTACTTTAACGATAAAAAAAAAAACTGAATCTTTTCAACAGATTCCAAAGTTGTTTCAACAGAAACGATTACTTTTTTTTTGGGGAAACGCTAAAATTAACGTTACAATGCATCCTTGGGTGCTGGGATTTACGGAGGCATAAGATCGCTGGTAATTGTAATTGTAATTGATCGAACTTTTCGGTTACTGTTGCGAAGAAGAGGAGAAATTTCAAATGTAAAAGTAAACAAAAACAAGTAAGAAAGTCTAAGTTCGGGCGGAGCCGAACATTAAATACCCGGCGCAAGTATTAAATATATGTTTCTTCACCTTTCCGAAACCTACCGCTAGATGGTAAATCGGGGTGTATCCATTTTGAGTAAATTAGCGTCCTTCAATTTCGAAATATTGAAGTTTCAAGCATTTCTGAAATTAACCGTTATATGAAAAGCGGCCGTAATTTTAGTCCGATATCAATAATTTTCAACATTTTGCTTTTATGTGGCAAGCACAATAAAAATACCGAGTTTAGTACAAATTGGTAGAACGGTTACCGATATACATATAGGTGATCATAAGTGGGCGGTGCCACGCCCATTTTCCAAAATTTTACCATAAACGTATTTCTTGGTAAAGAATTGTTTGGAATCATCAATTTTGAATAAATTAGCTTTAATATTTACTGATTTATCGAAGATTTTGTATTTCTCTAAATTACAGTTATATGGGATATAGGCGTGGTTATGGTCCGATTTTAAAAAATTTCGGGCATTTAGTATGCTGTACTAAGGCCAACAACTGTGCCAAGTTTGGAAGAAATTGGTGCAGCGGTTACCAAGATATACACACGTAACCATAAGTGGGCGTGGCTACGCCCATTTTCCAAAAATTTATAATATTCTTATTTTTCGTCTAAAACTTATTGTAAATATCAATTTGGAGGGAATAATCTTGAGTAGTTACTAAAATATCGCAGTTTTCGTATTTCTGAAAATTACCGTTATATGGGAGGTAGGCGTGGTTATTGCCAGATTTTGCCCATTTTCAATACCGTCCGTCCTACGCCCGAAGGAAGTGCACATACCAAGTTTCGTTAAGATATCTCAATTTTTACTCGAGTTATCGTATGCACAGACGGACGGACGGACGGACAGACAGTCACCGCTTAATCGATTTCTCTTTTCATCCTGATCATTTATGTATACATTTGTCTATATCTATCTCGATTCGTTTTGCCTGTTACAAGCAACCGTTATGTGAACAAAGTTATAATACCCTTGTGCACAAGTGCGCTCGGGTATAATGAACGCTAGCAAGGAAAAGAGGGTTGGTAAAGGTATTTTTAATAAAATATTATGGCAAATTAAGTGATTACAGTAGCACAGAGAAGAAACTTTGCGTTTCCTTGAGTTATGAGAATAAAAAAAAACAACAAATTTGACGGATAATAATCTGAGATTTGCCTGAAAAAAACCGAGTGATTAAAAAACGAGCTTTGATTCAGATTATATTTATATATAAACGTACTTTAACGACAATGGGTGGCAGCGCGTGCTGGACCCAAAAAACGCGGCGTAATTTTGGACGTTTTCCTATTTCCTCTCGTTGTTACTTTCGTTTCTTTTTACACTTTTTTTCTACGCATAAAAAAAAAACAAACAAATAAAATTCTGTGTTAATGACTCGGAACGTATCTGGATAAGAATTGAGTAATTTTTCTGATTTTTTTTTTAAATTTCGTCCAAAACAAAGACCAAACCTAATATAATATTTCAGGTACAGTAGCGGTTAGGGCTACCACCCGTTTGAAAAGTCGAGTTTAGTTAACTTATACACAAGTTTTATGAAATATAAAGATATGGATGTCAATCGAAAGAGATTGATGATAGCTTTGGTTTGAACATTTTTTTGATCAGGCTTACCACCTTTTCGAAAAGTCATAACGATCTAACTAAATACATACCTACATATGTATATTATACGAGAAGGCATTTTTTATGACAGTCATTAAATTTGTACAGTTCTTTCGAGTTGGAGATCAAATTAAAATCTTTGCGTGTAGTTTTACTTTTTAATTAAGAACTTTTTTGAAGTGAAACTTCTTAATCGAGTTCGGAGATGTTTGCGTTAAATATTTAACACCAAGTCATAACGCAACGAACGATAGCATTTAAAAAAAATAAGGTGTGAAATGAAAGATCTTGACCTGTAAATATGCAATTTGGTTTTAGTTTTTCAAAGGGCTGCCATATGTACGAAAATCAAATTCAAATTATTTATTAAGTTAAATGAATTATACCAAAAAGGTATTGAATACACTTCATTTTTTTAGCTACATGTGTTAGGGTTGGCACCTGTTTAAAAAGTTGAATTTCGCTAACCGTGCGTGCATGCCAACCACCCAGGGTGAAAAGCCATCGTGTAAATTGGCTGTATGAGGGCAAATCGCCCAGTCGCTCCCAGTCAAATATCATTATCGTCGATTTCGACATCATGCATATAACATGTGATCGATAAAGCAGTCGTTTTATTTAACCGGAGCTTCTACCTCCGATTTGTGTTAGCCAGACATTGAACAACCGGCCCTAAGTAGCTATACTGTGCATTGAGTCGGATTTACTCCGACGCTTGGAATGTGAAGATATGATCAGTAAGTTTGCGGAAATCAAGTGAGAAATGTTTGCATTTAATAATATGTACTAGAACTCATGAGTGTTATCAATTCTTAGTTGTATTATCATATGTATAAGAATATGTAAATATTTGTTAATTTTTATTTTACACGATATGCACAGAAAAAGCCAAGAAAAATTCCTTACTAAAAACACTCTTCAGTTTCCAGTTATTGTGAAAGTTGCCAAATTTATTATATACCCTTGTAAAGTTGATGAATTTTTATTTAAACCAGTATTTCTCGTGTTAAGGATATGAATAAATTGTTGGCTATTTTGTACTTTTTTCTTAACATATGGTGTGAAGATGCTGCTAATAAAACTTAAATTAGATTTGTGTAAAGTAAAAAAAAAAGTTCGAAGCTTTTATACTTTTGTAAAGTGAAAAGGGTAGTAATTTCACTGAAAACAGTTTCTGGTGAAACGATCTATATATCGTCGATGTTTTTGCGAAACCGCCCATCGACCAGTTGCACAGCCACCTAATCGCCGTTGTGTCAAAAATGACATTTGGTAACCCTGAACTCCAGGCATCGAGGTTTATGCATAAAAATCGTTAAATCGTTATTAAAACAATAGATTTTGTAAAATACTAGCTAGAGAAAATACCGCCTATCAAGGCAATGCCTTCAAAAAATAAGCCTGTAAAAATTGAGTGTCGTAAGATAGGCGGTTTTGCAATTATTACTTAACAATAAATTTTGTGTTGTCTCACTGACCAACATCAATAGTTAAGGGTTAACATCCAATGCTAAATTTTAACGAAAAATAAACGAAACAAAACTTTTATTTACAGCCTCTGGTTTCCCCGAGCTGCATACATAGCTTACCATAAACAATGCCTTATAAATAATAAAACGCATTTCCTTAATGTCTGCTCAAGGTATGTATAGTATGTATTTAATGTCCTCTTATTAAGTTAATTTTTTTAGCTTCCAATCAATGAATTGTCTTCTACATAAACATGTACATATGTATATACGTCACATATGTAAATAAAACAATAATATGGAATAAATTTACATGTATTTATATAGGTTTAACAATTAGAAATAAAAATGCGAACACTCTTAGGTTTTTAACGAACCCACTTAGTATTTCTTGGAAAACAGTTTTTTTAATATTTCAACGTAATTTAAGGTTATTGAACATGTACATCATGTATATATAAACATACATATGTATGTACGTGAGAGGATTTGCTGATAACAAATTAGGCTAAATTAGATTGAGCTATTTATACTAAATTATAAGTATGCATGTATGTATATATGTGGAGAAGCATATTTGCAATTAGGTATGTTTGCATTTAATAAGTATTTTTGTTTGATACATATGTATGTAATTAATACGTTAAAGATAAGGCATGCCTCCAACACGCTTATAATCATTTTCGGACGATTATGATAATTGTTCAGTGTTATACATATGTATGTATGTATGTAAGTATATTTGATGTAAATATTTTTGTAGTTTAATACACTTGCAAGGTGAATATGTATGTACATTAGACTGAATCACTCCCCACACAAAAAAAAAATCGGTACTATTTTTCCATTGGAATTATAAAATCTATTATATTTTAAGACGTCCACCAAAATATTTCGGAAAAATATTAAGATTTAAGTGAGCTGGACCGATTTGAAAATACCTCCAAAAATGGAGTTTTTTATGAATAAACATAGAAATCCCCTCAAATGACAAAACGGTTTAAGCTTAAAATATTTGCATAAAAATATTTTAAAAAACTAAAAAAAAATTTTTAACGGAATCGTAATGATGAGATTTTTGATGCTGTTTTTTAACTTTTTTCAAATATTGGTATAGAAAAAACTTGAATAACTGAACCTAAACTCTTCCGATTTAGACTTAGGAGGTGTCATTGGAAAGGTATTTTCTCACCCTTTTTATTTCTTTGCTAATAAGCTCATTCAAAGGATGGAAGAGAAAGGTAGGATGAACGAACGTCATTCAAAGTTGAATTAAGATGTGTTGGTATTCTAAAAAACAAAATGGGACACGAATTACGTTTTTTGGCCAGAAATAAAAACCGTGTGAAAATACCTTTCTACTGAGATCCCACAAGTTTAAATCAGAACATTTTTGTCCCAGTTATTCAAGTTTTTCGTAAACCAATCTTTGAAAAAAGTAAAAAAACAGCATCAAAAATCTTATTCTTAGATACGATTCCGTTGAAAAGATGTTTAAATATTTTTATGCAGATTTTTTAAGCTTAATCTAATTTGTCATCTGAGGGGACTTTTTCCAAAAAGTTCTTTAAGAAACTATTTTTATTCATAAAAAACTTCATTTTTTGAGGTATTTTCAAATCGGTCCAGTTCGCTTAAATCTTCATATTTTTCCGAAATATTTTCGCGGACGTCTTAAAATATAATAAATTTTGTAATCCCGGCGGAAAAACCGCAACTTTTTTTGGTGATGCAGTCTAATGTACATACATATATGTATATGTTAGCATGGAGATTTTTGAATGTAACTGCATTTAATTTTGCTTTATGGTGTATCTACTGTACTATATGTATGTACTTATATGCATGCATGTATGTAAAATACATAAATTAGCAACAAAAGTTTGCATATATGCTTTTACACTTTCTTCTTTTGCAAATTTGTTGCACATACACATTTTGTTGTAAATCTCTTTAGGCAAGAGTAATTATTTGATTATAGAAATCTTGTAATTTTCCGGTTTCTTGAAGTGTACACATACATGTGCAAGCCCTTAGCACTAAACTAATACTTTTTTACTTTTATGTATTATTTTTATTTTTTTTTCTACATATACATTTTTATTATCAGAATAATATATAGTTACTTTTTTTTAGCTTACTAAAAATACTTATGTACCTATATATGATATTTTTTATGTCTAAATATATGTAGATACATAATATGTGTGTTGTTGTTATTGTATATTGCAAGTATAATAAATGTGTTTCTAAATTAAGGTAAATTCAAAATTTCAAAAAAGGTGTACATATGTTTCGGTAGTGTAAATAGAACTGATGTGCGTTGTATATGTATGTATTTAAGTTATTACAAAATTTTTATTTATTTATGTATTTAGAGAACTAATAATTACAAATATTTATGCCACAAAGTGTTATCTGAGCCAAGTTTCTTGCTGCTTTATTAAAAAAATGTTTAAAAAAAGTCAACGTTTGAGGTGAATATGTATGTTTTCCATCCATTTCCTTATATTTTTTATTATTCGGAAATAATGCTATTGTCAACTTATACAGTATTTGTACCGTTCATAAAAATCAAGAGCTGTATGTTTATTACCGCCGCAAATCGGGATATAAAGCATTGGTCTTAACTTTTCTTGATATTCTTTAAAACTGCTGTAAAGTACTTTCAACACCAGATGCTGTTAAAGTCGAGGCAAACTTTTCTTCCTTTTTTTGTAGTTGTATATATTAGCATACTTTTAAATTACAAGTCACTTTAATGCTGATTTAATTTGTTCATAATATTATTCCTTTTGAATGAAAATCAACTGCAAATTAATTGCAATATTGGTATTGGTTTTTTTATTGAAAATAGTATGACTGCAAATAAATTTTGTTTAAAATTTAGTGTATTAAAAATACTATTTTTTTGGCATTCAGCGACAGGCTGTGTGAGATACACATGTTTGTCAGGTAGGTAGATACATATGTATGTTATCACCTCTGAAAAAAATTGTGAACATATTGACCACGCCGGTCTTGAAAGACAGCATAATAATAATAAGTTACAAGAAATCATACCTGTGCGTTTGACCATCACTTATGGTGATTTCGCCTTTGATTGCCTCTTTCTCTTTTCGTGTTTGATTCTAACCTAAAGGCAAGGGGTGAGCAAATTTTGTACTCGTTTCGAAGAAGCTGTTTTTCATCGCAGAAATACAATCGGAGGTTTGCCATTGCCTGCCGAGGGACGACCGCTGTTAAGAAAAAACCTTTTTTCTATATTTTTTTGCAATGTTGCTTTGACCAGGGCTTGAACCCAGGCGTTGCGGAGTGGAAGCGCGCACTGCTTACTGCTACACCACAGCGGCCGACGCTATATAAATACGAAAAATGAGTTCAGGTATAGCAGTGTAAAATATATACATATGATTGTGACAATTGGAGTTTTAGCGCGCTTGATTTGATGTTCATCTCACTGTGGCCCATTGCTCAGCGTAAGCTCCATCAGCCTACCAGAAGCGATATAACAATATGGCTTCTGCCAGGAATTAAGGACCCATTGCAAATGCAAGAAATATTCACTGATACCAGTGGTGGATTTGCCAACAACTGATTTGAAAGCTTTACACCTTTAAGCGTTTATTCCAAGCGCTAATTTTGCACAGCTGTAAAATCGTTTGGGAACTTCTAAATTGATCTTATAAAAAATCGTCTGAGGCCAACTGAATAATATTTACATATTCTATAACCGGTGTGGGTGAATTCCGATGTTAAACATCGATAATGTAATAACAATAATAATAATAATAATAATAATAATAATAATAATAATAATAATAATAATAAGAATAATAATAATAATAATAACAATAATAATGATAATAATAATAATATTATAAGTTGTTATTATAGTTGTAACCCCTTAGCTGAAAGCTAAAAAGAAATCGAAAAAGAAAGGATAAATGTGTACATAAAAATATATGTATTTTCAAATGGAACCGAAACCTGAGCTATGAACTCCCACTGATGAAATTCCATGTAGAAAAACCACCTGTCTTAAAAAATCTTACAGCTGGCTAAAAAACATATGTGCGTATGTTAGGGGTGGTAATTTTTTTTTTTTACTATGCGTGTATATCATAGGAGGATTCTACATGGAATTCTAAGCAAATTTACGGAAGAAACCGTGGGTCTAAAATAAATTTGGAGTTTGCCAAATTACGAAAATAGGTTTCGAAGAAAATATGAAAATTAAAATTTTTCACCCTCTGGTGAAAGTTTTAAGAACAAAATAAGTACAGTAAGGGATTCCTCATACCAAAAACCCCTTCCAGCATGTTTTTATACAAAATTTAAACACTGCTTTACGACACTACGACAAATGCTAAGGAACCTATTTTCGCAATTCGGTAAACTCGAAATTGCTTTTAGACCCATGGTTTCTTCGGCAAACTTGCTAAGAATTATACGTATGTACATAGAATCCTCCTATGTTATACACCTATAGACGACAAAATCTCCCATACAAATTGACCCGCCCTTATATATGTAGGTATACTATTTGTATGGCCATTTCTTTCTCTACGTTTTTGAAACTCTAATACTCTTAACTCAATTGGAAATAGTAATTGGCATGAATAGGCTATGAGCAAAAGTATAAAAGCAGAGTCTGCAAAGGTCGTAGCTCTTAGAACTAGAATTAGAAATAAATCAAGAACACTCTACATACACATCATCACAAAGCTAAGTCATCGAGCTTTAAATTTTGTTCACACATTTCTTCAACGCGTAAAATATTGGTATGTTTATTAAAGGTTTTTATATAGAGGCTTGTGAGTTTTGCGTGACAGATGTATTCAGTTTGAAAGGTCAAACGCAATTTTTAACTAGTATACTCATAATAACTTATTTCATTTGCACGCATACCGTAAAGGACCGCTTTCGAACAAATTCGAGATCTTGCAATTTTGGAAAGTACTCTCACATTATGTTACATGCATCGTCTCAATGGGATTCCACGATGCGGGTTGATTTAAAACAAATTAAAAGTGAATTTCCTCGAGGCGCATTTTCAACCCTCAATTTTCAATTATAGCTGTTTACACGACCATGCTAATTTCAGTTTGTTTTTGTTTAATATGAATTTTGTGTTTTGTTTTTTATTTTTATTTGTTTGTTATTGAAGTTTATTTTTCTTCTTTTTGCTCATTAACATTTCGAAATGAGTACTCTGTGGAGTTGTATTCGCGAAATTGTGGTAATTTCGTTTCAATGTCACTGAAATTGAGATTCATACTCAATTTCAGGTGACAGGTTATTGTAAAGCCAATTTGCGAATCGTATCGTAATTTCAGCTGAAATTGAGAACAGTGTTGAAATTGCGCAACATGGGCGTCGTGGAAACTGCCTATAAGTAAAGTTTTTTAAAACTTGGCCGACAGATTACAAATTGGGCTTTTGTGTATTTACTTTTAAATATAAATTCTACAAAATTTAAAAATATCAGCTGTTGAGAAATTCTTTCAAAAATGTTTCTAAACATCATATGTGTATGTACATATGTTTTTATTTACGTACTTATGTATGTATACGTAAGTAATAGTAATTCTAATATGAATCTCAGGCATTACAAGCTAATTACAATACATTCGCGCTCAGACTATAGTAACTGTTGGATAGAAATTGCCATTGCTGCCATTAGACGTTTGATAGACTTGCAGTGGGTTTTGCTGTTGTTGTTGCTGCTGCTGCTGCTGCTGATAAACAATTTTGCTTGCATGTTGCACATGTGTTTGCTGCTGTTGTTCCGTCTGTGCCAGTGCCTGCTGCGTATGCAGATGCTGTGTATGATGATTTTGGTTGGACTGATACGTCGCTAGATTTTGTTCGCCATTACCCAAACGGACACCAACACCGACACCAATGCCATTGTAGCCACTCTGCTTGGCATTCCTAACACCCTCAATTGCTTTTGCCTCGTAATTACTGCTATTACCATTCGCATATCCATTGCTGCCACACGAACCTGCTGACCCACCATTGCACAAGCCATTGTTGTTTTTGTATACTTTCGAAAGGCCATTGGTACGACTATTGCACATCCCAACACTACTACGAGTACCGTTACCACTAATTTTTCCATTTATATTACTACCGCCCGCTGCTTCACACTTCACACTGACTTTGTCACTGCCATTGCTTATTGCCGTATTGTTGCTGCCATTACTTTGAGTAGCAGCAGTCTTGCCATTGCCAACAGCATTCCATTGCCATTGCTTCAATGGTTCGCCGATTAGTGTAATTTTCACGGGCTTGTAAATGTTTGCGGTTGGCGCGTGTTTTCCTGTGCCAGCGGCTGATGTCTGGGTCAGCGTAGCGGCTGTTGTGGGTGCTGTCGCTGTTGGCTTTTCCCACGCGATTGAAGCACGTCGCGGTGCCATTGCCAACTGTTGATTGTTGTAATTGCTCAGAGTGGTCGATATGATGGTGTGACGTCGTATTTGTTGAGATGCTGCTTCTGTAGCGGCAACTGGGAGATTATTATTGCTGCCATTGCAGTTGTTTTGCAGTTGTTGTTGGTGGTGTGGACAAAGAGTGTGGTTGTTGCTGTTGTTGGCGCTGCTGCATATGCTGTTGTTATTGCAACTAGCTGCGGGATGATAATGCGTCGTGTAGCTGGTGTACTCGGGTTTACTTCTATGTTATTTTCAATGATGGCAAGCGGACACAATGTTGGGGACCAAAAAGAAATGAATAGAGAAGTAGAGATTAGAATGGCGTTATGTTGTTTTATTTACAGTACAATTCGATGTCGTGCAATTTCGTAAACTTATGAAGTGATTTTGGTATTAGTATGAATATAGTGGTATGTATGTATGTATGTGTGTACATATAACTAATCGCATGCTTTTTTTTCTAATTTTCGTTTGCACAATTGAATGCTATCATTGACTAACTCAAAAACTTTTCTACAGATGTACCTTTTATAGTATGTTAATACAATGCACATTAATGCTCTCATCCCCAAGGATTGCTACCCCGGTTTTTTAGGATTAGAGGTCGCTCAACCTGCTCAAAGCAAAACAGCATTTTGTAGAATTGGTATACAAGTATTGAAAATCAATATTTTTCGATCGGAAAACTTCTTTTCCTTTCTTTAGGAGACTGCTCATAATAACACCCGACTGTTTATTAGTTTTTTTTTAAACTGGCGCTTTTTTACGGGTCGCCCAATTACACTTTTTTGAGGATTTTAGGGGTGCCAGGGGTGCTATAAAAAGTAGTTAATAATAGAAAATGGTTTAATAAACAATTGGGTTTGTTATTCAAAGTCTCCTGAAGAGAAACAGAGTTTTCCGATCGAAATTTTTTTTGATTTTCAAGAAATCTATACCATTTCTACGAAAACTGGTTTTTCTCAAAAAATATACTTGGAAAATTTTGAGCGACCTTTAAATAGTTTTTGATTAAAAAACTATAAAAATGGGGTATAATTTTTTCAGTATAGAACAATCTTAGTGGGTGAGGGCATTAATATTCCGACTTAGCTTTTTTGGACCACCCTAGTGTACACCCATGCGATGTACTTGGAAGAAGTCCAACAGAATTCTAAAGACTTAGGAGCGGCTAGACTACCCCATAAAATTATGATTTCCTTTAGGTAAGACTAGCCTTGCTCCGACACAGCTTTCAATCATCGAGGGTGTCTGTGTGGTAAATCCATTTTCCAAAGCACAGATATGTGCCGTGTGGTCTGGAAACTTTAATTTAGCGCTGCCATTTTTAATTGTCCAAACATTATTTCCTAATACTGAATTTCTCTCAGGTCGCCTCTCAGGCTAAGGTGACGACTTCGGTTAGCGCGATTTTTACTCGCACGGCGTCGCTTTGACACTGAAATGCCTACATTTGGTATATTGTGGTTTTGGAAAGTCACTCGTATATTAAGAAAGGGTTTTAGCTTATATTCTTCTTCGTCTTTCTTCTGTATTCTTTATTGGCGAGGAAACTGCCTAAGCGATTTTGGCCGAGTCCAGAAAAGCTCGCCAGTCGTTTCCCTTCTGTGCCCACTGACACCAATTGGAAATACCAAATGAAGCTAAGTAATACTCCACCTGATCTTTCATTACTTTCAGAGCGGTAGCGTTTCGGTCCATTCGTACGACATATCCAAGCCAGAGTAGCCGTGTATTTTAAATCGCTTCACAACGTCTATATCGCTGTAAAGCGCATACGGCTCATCTTTAAATTGTCTGCGGTATTCGCCATCACCAATGCGTGAAAGCCCGCAAGTTTTCGCAGAATTTTTCTTTCGAAAACCCCATTAGATGTTTTTGCCTAATCTAATATTAAGAAATCAGCACGGCTTTAAGAAGGAAATATCCACAGAGATAGCTTTTATTTTGTTAGAGGATCTTGATTTTATCGGCGTTAATCCTGTAATTCGTCAAGGAATCAGTAATCTTTTGAATTGTCGGACAGTGGTGTGTGAGAGGGGTGATCTCAAGGGAGGCGAACTGAGGCACTCCACAAGGAGCCGTCCTCAGCTCCGGCTGGACGTAATATTAGAGCTAGACGAGTGGAAGAAGGGACTTCGATTCAATAGCAACACGTGCAATTTCTTTGCAGACGGCTCCCAAATTCTTGACGGAGTGGGAGCGTGATATTCTGTTACAGCAGCGGTATCTCCTTTGACACTCTGCTCCCTTTGGAAGTTCGCGACTTAGCTAACCTGGCTCTTCCTAACTGAAGAATATTGCGGACCCCAGAATTGGCAATTTTCTAAACCTCGCAAAAAAGTTCATTATGATTAAGGTCTTAAATCATGCATCCATATCCTTGACAAGACTAGGGACCAGCGATTGGTTTGCCCGGTAATCAGGTTATCTAATTAAAACATATTATTCTCTAGTGTATGTTATTTTTGTAAACTGAATAAAAAAATATAACCATATACCTATAGTAAACACCTTGCAAACTAAATTTCCCGAAATCTTAACGATATCTTTCGGATTATCTCATTTCTGTAAGATTTTTTTACAATTCGTCAAAGAAAATTATATGAAGTGGTTGACACGAACTCGTAAAGAAATTTCTGTACGAAAAATAAAGAAAATTCTGAAAAAATTCTCCAAGAAATTCTTCACATAGCAGCATTATCTTCATTGCTTTACCGATTTTCTTCAGAAATTTGTAAAAGAATCGAAGTGTGCATAGTTTGTGTCATTTTAGAAAATTCGGCAAAAAAATCGGATGAGATCATTACGAATTCTTTAAAGTTTCTCTACAACTCAAAATACTCCGAAAATATGGTTTACAGGGCAGATGGCCCAATATACGTATATTGGTGCAAACACCCACTATCAAATTTTAGTGGCTTACACACTAGGTGCTGCATAAAAAGTTTTCGGTCGCTGTACGGTTCCATTTTAAGCGATTTACTAACATTTAATTAAATAATTTTGTAAGTGAGCAAACTAAGTACTTGTGTATGCAGGTCTTATGCATTATTTTTGAATACTTATATATAAAAAAAAAACGTTCTAAGCATTCAGTTGCACAAATTCAATAAACAAAAATACTTTACCATAAAATGTTTCTTGTTATTTTTTGTTAATGACATGAAGGCATTACCTCACAAGTCTATTAAATTGCCGCATGCAATTAAAAAAGTTTCAACAGTTTTAAAGAATTTTTTGTGTGTTTCACATTTTTAATAATATATAGTTTTATTACCTAATTAGGATACTACGATCATTGCATTTATGTTAATAATTAAAAATAATTTGAAAAACAGTTTTTAAAAATTGTTATAAGATTCATAAATAAAATTGACAAAGCTATGGGGCTTGCTAATGTTAGCGGTCATTTCAAGCTATGTATACTCGTAAACCTATTTATGTACAATACTATAATATACAATATAATTTTTAATACATTTCAAAGTGTTATTTTCCATTTCAATTTAATTTGATTTACATTTTTCATTCCACTTTTCTTGTAGAATGCGAGATTTTGGATATAAAAATGTTTTTACTTCACAAAATTTCAACATAGTAACAAGAAACGTCTTAGCACTTTTTGTTTATGATGCAAAAATCCTGCGTTTTAAAACAAATTTAAGTTATTATAATAAAACATTAAAAGCTAAAGTGCTGAGGCTGGGCTTGCTTAAATTCCTCACTCTACTATGCCGGATCAGTCGTTTTTTCAGTAGTTTTAGTTTAAAGACTTAATTTCTTAAATTCCACTTGAATTTGCTTCTAAATAAATAAATTATAATATCAATTACCATTTCTTTACATATACATAAGTTGAATCTTATCAAAAATATTTGCGAGCAAACTGGAGATATTCTGTTCTTCTTTTCAGCTTGTTTTTTACTGAATATACATTAGGGCGGGTTAAATTTTTCCTCTACTTCGTTTCGCCGACTGACGTATTCTACTGGCAATTCATGGAAACGTAGCTCTTAAGGGGTTTCGAGCCCGCTTATTTTTAATGTTTAGTTAATATCTAATTCATAACCAATTTATTTTTCTTAACTTACTTCAGTTCAATTAAATTGATGCGATAAGCAACATATTTTTGCAAAATGGGTATCAAACTAAGGTGGCTTAAGAAAGATTTATTTCCAAACAAAATTTTGAAGGGTGCCGCCACCTGTTTAGAAAATTTAATTAAAAAACTTTAAATGTTTCAATATGGGTTTCAAAACTAACTGATTCGTTACTTCGCTACGACACGAAATTAATGCGGACAGTGATAAATTCTTTCCTTTGAAAAATTCGTCTAATTGCTTATGCGCAAAATCCATATACACACATTTCTTAAAAAAAAATTACAAAATATATCTAAAAAAAACTAATTGATTAGGAATTAACGACTAAAATTAGAAATAAGGAGGCTCGAAATCTATTTAAGAGCTATGCTTCAATGGACTTTTTTAGTCAGAATTGCCAATAGAATACTTCAGTCGCCGAAGCAAAGTCGGTTATGTTTGTTAAGAACAAATCGACCCGCCCTAGTGTACATATTTTGTTTTAGTATTGCTAGTATTATGTACATACAATGTATGTATTTTTTTCTTATCAAAAATTTTCAATCATATTTCGATTAAATTTTGTTAATTTCATTTATATTGTCTTTACTTTCATCCAAAAATAAGTCATACTTATTTCAAATTGCTTGTTAATTTTTTTTTTCTTAAGTGCTACTTTAATAAACATAGCTTACTTTGGTTTTAAATTAACTATAATAAAACTTAAAAAAAAAATATTTCATATAAGAGCAAAGAAACTGTAATCGAAAAAAATGTAAGCGAAATTCTTTTCAACTATTCATCAGTGTGTCCTTGTAGTGAACAGCAATAACTAATTTGAAATAAATTTTCGTTAAAAGATGAATAACTCACTCAGTTTTCAACCGGTGTTTGAAAATAAGCATTCGTTTTACTCGCTATTGAATAGTCTTGTAGTAAATTCAGAGTTAGTATAGCTGCTTCATAAAATAGTGCCAAAATACATCGCCAAAGTTTAATCAAGACGTACATCATTCGAGATTTCGTTTCTACCAAAAAAATTTCGCCTTTTGATTGCACCTTTCTCTTTTCGTTTTCGGTTATAAAATAAAGGCAAAGGGTGGGAAAATTTGTGTTCGCTTCTTAAAATGCCGCCCTATTGTAAGGCAAGAAAGCACATTCCTCGCGCTTTGAAGCTTTGTCAGGGGTGACGGTTGCCCTCAAAATCAGATAGTTGCTTAAAACGACAGGGGTTTTAAGGGCGCAAAGGTATGCAGTTCAAGCTTTTGGGGGTGTTTGGCCGATTTCATATTTCGATTCTTGTTTTGCTCGATAAGTTCTTTATGAAAACAGCACTTCACGGGTACTTTGGAATTTATAATTTGTTAAAAATCTGAATAAATAACTAATAATAAATTGAAATAATTCAAACAAAATAAACTAATACTTGGTGGTCATTTAATTTGTAAAGCTCATCTTTTTTTGTATACATATTTTTTTTTACTAAGTATTAACTCATTTTAATTTCCTTATATTTCTTGGTAGTGACTAACAAATTAATTTGTGTTCTATTAGCTTTAAAGACAAGATGAACAATTGTCAATACATGAATAGGTTATATGTAGTATACAAATAATGTTAATGGCGCATAAAACCATAACAGCCATGATAAGATCACAAAACAGTACCTGTTCTTCGCCAAAGCGTAGTCTATAAGTTTTTACCAGTTGACACAATTCAGTATAATGTTTTGGTGCGTTATTGTGTAATAATGTGCAAGTAGGTGTATGCATGTGTTTGTGTGTGTATGTGTGCGTTAACATAATGCATATTTTTTATTTAAATATATTATTATTTTATTTTTTTTAAATATAATAATTCCCGAACCCCATTTAAAAAAGGCAGCATGAAAGAGAAATTTATGAGATTAGCTATTTTTATGAAGCAATATACATACTTTTATAAGGAAGTGTGAAAGTAAGAAAAATGTTGGAAAAATTTTCATGTAAATAGTGTACATATACATATACGCTCTGTAACTAAGTATAGGCATATACATATCTATGAATATATGAAGGTTTACATAACTATTCAATTATGCATAGAAATTTTGAAATTAGAAAAAAATTAATTATTTCTGGAACGTAGCCTAACTGAAGTATGTACTACATAATTAAACAAGCACGTTAATTAATTCCCCTCTTCCCAACTCCTACAAACCATTGTATATAATTGGTTGTTAGTATTGTTTTTTTTTTTGTCTTTCTAATTTCACGAAATTTCGCAAAAACAAATTGCTTAAGGCAAAATTCGTTGTAGATAGTGAAAGAAACAAAAGATGTTCGTCGCAAGCAAATCGCTTACATTGCGCACACGTAAATGGAGCCAATTGGCCCAGCCATGGCGGTATGCAACTAGGCCGCGATAATAGTGATGATGCATGTAGTTGCTGCAGTTTGTGTTGTAGCATGTCAAAATATTGCACGAAAGCTGTCTGCAATTTGCAGCCAAACAACGCCAACTATGCAAATCGGCGCAACTGCGCGTGAAGCGCAACAACGTTGCACATGCAAATGCAACAAGCCGTTGCAAGGTGCTATCGATGCGACTAAGGCACGATCGCCAGCCATCATAGTCAACAGCTACACCAACACCGATGCCGCTTTGGCTACTTGGCGCTGTGATGCCGTTTAGGCAACCGATTACAATGCCACCGAAGTTGTCTTTGAAATGTTGCAATTTGCGGTGAATTATAGTGAAGAAGCGCTGTGCAGCTGCTGGAAAGGATGCGATTAGTATCTGACTGGAGGCAAAATGTTTTGTGGGTATTTTAGTTTTAAGATAATTGAAGTATTGTAAAGCTTTTCGCTTGCAATAACAAGCGAGTCGGAATAGTAGTGGGTTTTCGTGGTGTTGCATAGATACGCTGTTGGGAGGAAATTCAGTAATAAATTTAGTTAAAGAAAATAAAGTTGAGTTGTACTTAAGAACTAAGAATAAATTAAATAAAGAGAGATTAATTAAAATCGGTTTTGATATTTTTACAAACGGTATGAGAAGAAACCTTACCTTGACAATCCCTCCGGACCATATGAATAAGGTCGTGTCTGTTGGCATATCAAAAAACACGGATGAAAAGAATTAACCAAATAAGATGAGATTTCATGAGAGTTTATTAAAAAAAAATTTAAAATATAATTTCTTTTTATACCTATTGGGTACATACCCTATCTGTTTGTGTTGCTGTATTTATGCATTCCTTTGTGGTGTCACTACTGATTTCCGGCCTTTTCAACTCCAAACTTTCAATTTTATTTTTTTGTAAACGTATTGTGCGTTCACGATCTTCGACCTCACCCTAGTGTTGTTGCGTGATTGAAATTTCATACAAAAATATTTTAGAACTTCAGATAAGAAAACGTAAATATTTGTTAAGCTAATATTAAGAAAAAACAATCATAACATAGTTTCAAAGTAAAAATTAGGCAAATAGTTACTGATGTGAATTATGTGAGTGAGACTGTTCGTACGGTTGTGTAAAAGGAGATTTTTTAATTGGTTAAAAAAAAATAAAGTTTTTTTCCTCCTAACATCGGAAGCATTGGCAAAAATGCAGCTTGTGTCTAGGTTGTTAGTGGAAATCCCATACTGATGGCGGCACATATCGGAGACAAGGAGATTTCCTTAATCTGCTATGAATTTTCTTGATATATCTATCTTTGAAGCCAGGCACCTATACAACATACATAAATATAAGTATGTGTGACATCCCTGTTTGCCAGCACGTTTAAAATATGTCTGAACTTTTTAACATTCTCGCTGTAGATTTGAGTTATTCGAGAGCTTTATTAGCTATCCCACTACCAAAATATACACTCTAAAAAGTGCATGTAAAACTACTACGTGTTTATTTTTCAACCATAATGTGTTCAAGTATACGCACAAGATGTTCAAGATTTGATTTTGAACATGAGTTGTTTAAAATATACACATAAATATAAACATGAAATGTTTAAAATTACAAACATTTTGAAAGTAAAAATATATTTTTTACAAATAATAAATACTAAGTACCAGGGGCGCACGCAGGAATATATTTTTGGGGGAAGGATTTATACTTCTAAATATATATCATCAGAAAATACTGAAAATTCGCTCTTTAAAATACATTTATGCAAGTTTTATGTACAGAATGAAATAAAAAAATAAACTTTTTAAAGTTTCATAAATTGCATTTTATTTACATAAAATTTATAAAGAACTCAGACATTTTCAACCGGCTTAAAAAAAGGGGAGGTTATCAATTCTTCGGAGTATTTTTACTTCTTTTATTTATTCCACCGCATAACTTTGCACTGCGTGAACCGATTTTTTTTACCCGAAAGATAGTACCTTAAAGGTCGTCCCGTAATTTGGTTTAGATCCGATCATTAAATCATGAAAAAATTAATGGTTAAAGATGCACTCCACTTTCAAAAGTAATACAAAATTTTACAAAAGAATTTTAATATAAATAAATTAAATAATTTCACGAAATTTTTAAACTTTTTTATTCATTTTCGTCGATTTCTGGTTTCTCATTTTTTAATACTTCGAATAACGAAAATTCAGCTGAACTTGTATTTTTATCATGTAGCTCATTTTGGTGGAACGAATTCCAAGTTAGCAAATTAAATCTTCGAATGCTTGTTAAGTACATATCAGTGGTAAACTTTTTTAGGCTGTAAAGTGTAAAAAGTAAGTGTGCGCTACGTGACTAATTTGATATGTAAAAGTAAACAGACAGTGTTTAATTTTGCACACACTAGGAGAGGAAACTGGTTACCTCTCTTTATATGCACAAATTTAAACGAAAATTTTTTAGAAGAAATTTTAAACATTTTATGTGTAAACTATGAAAATGTGAACAATAAATGTTTAAAACTCAAAAAACAAATTTGAAATTTGTTCTACACCACGCATATGATAAGTAAAAGTAAGCAAGCAATGTGTAAATTTGCATTCATTAAGAGAGGAAACTGGTTACCTATCTTAATATGCGCAAATTTAAACAAAATTTTTTTAGAGTGTATGTTAATACTGCGAGCTGGTTAAGAGTAGATTCTATGGGCTTTCTTTGCAACTTTGCTGATTGCCATAGGTTTAGGTATGTATCTAGTGAACTAGTGGAATTTTCTACAACTCGGTATCGCCGAATTCTGAGATAGGGCGTTCTTCAATCAAATTCTGGCGTAGAGCGTTTTTCAACCAAATTCTGAACTAGGGCGTTCTTGAAAAGTTTTCTGAGAGAGGGCGTTTTCGAACTGGCTGCCAAGATAGGTCGATCGTCCGCTCTGGTGTCGATATGTAAATAGCATTTCCTTAAGAAAAATTACAATTTATTTCAACTAACCCCGATATCACTTAAACTCCAGTCGCTTACCAACTATCAGGAGCAACTTACACAATCCATCATAAGCAGCAACTTACTGACTAATTATTTGCTCACCTAAATTTTGTTGTTGTAGAATTAACTTCGTACTCTAATTTTCCTTCTCTTTCATATCTTGCTTATAGTGATACCTTGCTATGCAAATAACTAAAATTCGAAACATATCCCATACAAAATGTATGAAAATATTAGGTGATACAAACGTAGAACTACTTTGCCTTTAAGGAATCCGGTACTCAGACCCTAAAAAAGTCCCCTTTATCATAAAATGAGTTTTATTAAAGGGTATGGTATTCAAAAATGTTAGCACAATACTATCTTGAAATTTCATGATCGTAAGTAGTAATTTGGTTGTCAAGATATTAACAATTCGTACCACCTTTTTTTGTACATAAGGGTTAAAGTTGAAATTTGGGTCTTATTCACAATGCTGTTTGTGGGCTGCTTTGAATTTCAATATAGTGGCTGCATAAATAGTAACTCCCTACAAAACTCTGGCCGGATATGAAATCGGATTCCAAACAGTCACCGTTTTGTAGAAAGGTAACACTCTCTCTACGCGGCCAGTAGACAATAATTAAAACAAATGTTCGTACAGTTTTGTAAGTAAAATTGTGGTTTGGTTTATAAATGCAATATTTAAATCAGTTTGTAATGAACTTTACTGTCTAACTCCTGAATAATTTTCTTTATAAGGTTGTTACATCCTTGCCTAAAATATGTTTTCAAGGACTTTCTTACTGGGGTGTTTCATTTTTACAGCTAACGCAGATAATTTTGTAGGTAACCCCGCAAAGTTGTTGCAGACTAGTGGTTTTCTTAGGGTTGATAACTAACCCTTACTAGAGAGAGTATGTTTGTCTGGAGCCAAGACTTTGCATGTTAGATGCTGTTCATTGTTGAAATAATCTGCTGATGCCATTATATTTATTAAAGATTATTTAAACCTAAAACATGAGAAGGAATTCAATAGCATCTCATTCAGATTTATCCAAGAGGTTTCTTAAAGGATACCAAACTCACAGGAATGTGTCCATCATTAATCACATTACCAGTAGCTTCTCAAAAAATTCTACGCTCCTTCACTGCACATCGAACACTTTTGCCACTGCATTCCGATAAAACTACAGATACATATTGCTCCATGTCTATGTAAATACGATAATGGCCAGGCGTATTTGGTGCGTTATTTTAAGGCATATACGAGTAAGTGTAAAAACATTTATTTACATGCTTTTTATGCAATTAAAAATTAGGTACAAGTATATATATGTTTTTACAAAAATAGATTACTAAAAGTGTAATTATGTTTGTTTGTACAGAAAAACGAATGGAATTCAAAATCTTACAAACAAAAGAAATTAATTTAAGGAACTGAACATGACAGGAATCTGTTTAAACGCTATCTTGTCGCACGTACATATGTACATTTGTAAAAATTACCTTAGTTTTAATTAAATTATTGCAGTTAATGTATAGGAAGTCTTTATTTGGGCTATGTGAAAATGTTAAACTTTTACGGGAACTGACTAAAAGGATCTTAATCAGAAAGTTTTATAAAGTTTTTTTTTTATTCAACTTTTTTAGCAACATGGTAAGTATGTATGCCTTCACATAGAAATAACGTAAACAGAAAATACTCATTGTGTTGCCGTCTCTCAAAAGAAAGGTATTTAGACTTTTAAGAAGAACTTAAATTGAAAGCATAGTCTCCCATTTTATCATTGTCAGATTAAATCAGAACATAACAACGGAAACGAATTAAAACGTGCAAATACCTGAAGGTAAACCACCTGTCTTCGTAGATCGGCTAACTCCACCATGGGGTCATCTGTGTTCGACGATGTTAAGCTGGCCAAGTCCATGTCATCCAGTAGTTTGCTATCTAAGCCACAGGCAGCGAAGAGTTGCCCATTGTCGGTGTCGAATGGGTTGAGAGTATCCGTCTAAATAAAGAAAGGCAATGCATTTATACATCATTTTAGTAAATGTATGTAATTGTAAATATCTATATATATGTAAACATATTTAAAACAGAAGGGTTCTATAAGTGTAGAATAGACGAGTGATAACGAATATTGTTAGGATGAGTCGATGGGTATCATATTTACTACCAGGTAAATTTAGACTTATTTGTGTATGTACTAGATATAACCAAGAGATTATTTATATTTCCTATTTTTAGAGAGTCTATTACAAATCGTGACCTCAGCAGAATACTATGCTGGGCTTTAACATATACGCACCACATTCAGGCGCTTCCAACAATCAGTTGGTTTTGTGCTATTTTCGTGAGTTTGCAAAGGCTTTCTTTCAATGACAACCCGCAGTGCGGATTTCATTTAATGGCACAAAATGTCGGTCACTATTACATACGTATGTAAATGTAATGGAAATGTCTATTTATAAATGTGAGGCAAGAAACAAAACGAGCACTCATACATAGACTGTGCCACAAAGTTACATAAAAAGTATTTTAAATGCAATATCATATGTATGTAAATAAGAACTTTAATGCGATTTTTCTAAAGCCTAGCTTATAGCTACAAAAAAATTTTGTAGTCGAGCTACATACCTGCGAAAATGGAATCAAGGATTTTTAAAAAAATTCTCGCAGGGTATCAATATGGGATTTGACAAAGAAGCTCAACAACAAATCGAATTTATGCTATTAAACATTCCAGGGCAAAGTGTTGTGAGCATAATATTGATTTCAAGCAACTATTTGATAGCTTCTGCCGGATGGCTATCTCCGCAATATATAGCAAAAGGAAAGATTCCAGAACGGACACGAATTAATATGATGTGTTGGCTCAAAACGGTGTCGAAATTAAGGATACAAGGTAATTAGTCTGAATGTTTCGAGATACAAACCGGAAGAACAATTTTCATTATCATGCTGCGTTGTGCAGACGCAAAAATAATTGTATAAATTCTGTAAGAGTCACTAGAAGTATCAACGCCTTATCAAATACGTTCTCAGCAGCTAACAGAATAGGACTTAAAATAAATGAAGAAAAGACTAAATTTATGATGTTGTCCAGGAAGAAAAATAAGCTCCACAATCGATGAGAGGATTCACGCAGTTAATAGGTCACATGTGTCTCTAATAACACTCTTCAAATAGAACCTTCTAAACAGGCAAGGTAAGTTCAAATTATATGAAACCATCTCCCGATCTGTTTTACGCTACGAATTTGAAACATGGACGATGAGTGAAAAGGATAAATCAAATCTGAAAATATTTCAAGGGAAAGTTCTCCGAAAAATCTTTGGTGCAATTAAGGATTGCAGTGGTATATGGCGTATAAAGTGGAATGATGAGCTGGGCCAGCTAATAATAATAATAGATTGGCGCTTACACGCATATTAGTGTTCCTCCGATTTGTGCCGTGCGGCTTGATGTAGTGTCACAAAGTCCCCTACAGTTTTACGCCGACTCCGAACGGCGATTGTATTTTTATGAGAAGCTGTTTTTCATGGCAGATATACACTCGAAGGTTTGCCATTGCCTACCGAGGGACGAACGCTGTTAAGAAAAAACCTTTTTCTAAATATATATTTTTTTGATGTTGCTTTGACCAGGGCTTGAACCCAGGCGCAGCGGAGTGGAAGCGCGCACTGCTTACCACTACACAACAGCGGCCGAGCAGCTAATAGAGGACGAAAATATAATTCCATTCATCAAAGCACAGTAAACAAGTTGGCTAGGACTCATATACTACGTTTATACGCACAGAATAATCGACTTAATTGAAAGCGCATTGACACCGTACACATTTCGCTCTAGTGTTTATACTTACGGCTTTATATCGGCATCAAAGCAACCGTCTTCAAAAGCAAACAAAATTAGCTGTTTTCATTTGACATTTTATAAGTTAACATAATGGAAAGTGATAAAAATCTAGTTTTATTCGGCATTATAAAATCGTAACAAAGAAAAGAACGATTATTATTAATCAGCTTTTAAATACTGATGCGATTATTTGGAATTTGAGCAGAAGAGCTGATCTCCAATTCGCTTTGACTGAGAGCGGTGTTTATACACTCTTTCTAACTGTCTGGAGAAATAAACTACCGATTTGAAATGGAGTGTGAGCCAAAACACTTCGCTCTTTCAAAGCGAATTGAAATTTAGTTTATACATATGTTTCGAATCGCGACGAAATGAATTAAAGCGACTTATGCATGCGTATAAACGTAGTAATAGTAAGAATGAAATCTACGAGAGCACAAAAGAAAGTTGTAGACGCTAAGGCTTTCACAACTAAAGCAAAGGGTATACGAAGATCAAGATGGTCGGATGAGCTGGAAGAGGATATGAAAAGTGTGAAGATGAAGAACTGAAGAAGGGCAGCGAACGATCGAGTCCATTGTGCAGCAGGCCGAGGCTCACTAAGAGTTATAGCCCCAAAAAATGATGATGATCATGATGACCGCCACTCAATGTCGAAATTCGACCGATTTTCTAGCTTTTTAAACAATTTATTTCCTTCGTCGCTTAATGGCTGACAATTTCTACATAAACCAAGTTCTTTTTCATTTTTTCCCAGTCAGACAAATGACCCAAGACTGAAACATTTTCCAACAAATTTTGACACCATTAAAACGGTCCTTAAAGAAGAAAAAAAAAGAAACAAAAACACGAAGTAAAGCGAAATGTAAAATATAAAAACTATTCCCAAAAATACACCAAAAAAGAAACAAACAATTAAAATAAATAAGTTAATAGTAAAAACAAATATTTTTAAGGCAATCTTTCTAAATGTGAACGAAATCGGACCGTAAATACCGGATTACCAAATATATCGCTTCCAGCGCCAACTATCGGCAAAATTTTTACTGAAGTTATTCTTTTTTATGTAATTAATATACGTTCCTAATATGAACGAAAGCAGACTATAAATAAAGTTTTTTTTCAAATATCTCGACTTCTGCGCCATCTATCCGATTTTCGTATGGCATTGTCATCGGGTTCTGAGCCAATTGTGAAGTTTCAAATTCTCAAGGTAATCCGGAAGTTGATCAAAAATAGATTGCAAGATATGTCCCAAGCAAACCTACTTATATACCTATATTTATACGGAGCAAGTTAAATAAAAGCTTGTAAAAAATAAGTGCACGTGGACCAATCGTTCTCGTTCCCTTAAGAACATTCGGTCTTGGCCAGACCAGAGGCTCTTATTGGAGGAGTTCCTATTCATAAGCAGGCACACGGTGTCGAACCGAAGGTATCGATATGGTACACATTTATAGTATCGCTGTAAAAATAATGGGTACCGATTAGTGTCGGTATAAAAATACCCGATATTCCCAATATCGATACCAAAATAAAAAAATTCAATCAGAATATTGATCTCGTTTTCTATCAAAGACGGTACACTTTGCACGTTAATTAGTGGTTGCTTATGTAGAGATTAGTGAGCTAATTGACATCACCGAAGGCGCAGTATTGCTTTACATATAAATTCCATACATATACATATGGGCGCTTAAAGAGGAAGTTCCCGAAAAAAATTAAAGTAACATATCCAATCTACATTTCTGTACAAAATGGTCTCACTAGATGGCGCCAGCATCGAGATATTTTGTAAAGCCGTAATCATGCTATGGTTTGTTTCAAATTTGTTTTATTTGCGTTAAAAATTAGTTTAGAAAAACATCAACAAAAAAGTTAAAATGGAAATTTTAGGATGGTAACCTCAAATAAAGTCACGTCAGATATTTCGGCTGATAAAAAAAGCAGGTAGGATTTTAACATTTAAGAACTTAGTGTGTATGTATTTAAATATCTTCTATTATTTGTTGTAATTTTTGTAACTGAATAAAGATAATTATTATGCAAATAGTTATGGAAAAACATTTTTAAAATATTTGAATTGTATATTTTGTCATAAAAATATATACTTTGCCTTAAGAACATCAAAGCAAATTCAGCAAAATATAATTTTTTGAAGTATATTGTAGAATATATTATTAATAGCATTAACTTTGTAATGTGCGTTTAACATACAAGGGCTCTGGTACTCGATTTCCAAAAAATATCGTTTTAAAACTATGAAGTAAAAAGTATCGGTATCGAATGCCAAAAGTATCGATATGGTATCGTACCGTACCGAAATTCGTGTCCCTATGCATACGTTTTTACCAACTCATATCTTGTGAGTGGTGCTTTAAGTAAATAATAGCTTTTAAACTTTATAATCATCTTTAAACCTACCTCTTCTTAGCTTTGAATACGTTCAAAGACTACTTACTAACTATATACATGGATAATTTTTACAGGTGAACATCTGTCACCTCTGAATTTTTTTATTTTTATTTCAAGCAATTTATGTCTTACATTTTCACAAAAAATTCCTCCATAATCAATTTATTTACAATATAAACTCAATGCCATGACACAATAATTTTTAGATCGTAGTTTCACTTCAAAATTTCTGACATAAACCGTGTCTGTTAACAAACGCACTATGTTGCCATTGTAACGATATTGAACTAGGTTTTCATTTATAATTTCATGTACTACGTTTTTTGTTTTTAACTCAGCAATGCACGACCGTTCCGCAAAATCAAATTTGCGCTTGAAAACTTAACGGAACACAATATGAACTCAATTTATGATGAAAATTATTTAAAATGTTTTGAAAATTTTTAAACTTTCTTTGCTTAATTTTTCCAACGGCCAAAAGGTAGTTTTTTTGTTTAATAAATTGGTACCACAAAAAATACGAAACACGATCTCCGTCAGATAGCTAACAAGGCGTCTAAGAAGAAGATGTGAAACTACCTTCAGAAAGTCATTGCATCCTGCTCAATACGTCAAGCAAAATGAATTTTCAGCAAACATTTCGATCAAGCGTACTATGTAACAGGAATTAGTTTATGAACGTACCCTCATCAAATGATCTTCGTCCTTTTGATTTATTCATGAAATGTCAAAAGTGTATGTATGGATTTCGAAATCAAAATGCGGTGCAGAATTTTAAATGAAAACCAGCAGCGTGGTAAAACCAAAATTTTTTTACATGCAAATAGAAAAGACAAAAACCAAATATAATGTTCAAAAAGTTATATCGCTAGCTTAGAGTGCAAAGTTGCAAAGCCCTTTTTTATTTTACGGAAGAGGAAAAAACTTCTTATAACTATTTTCTTCAAGTGTCTCATAGCAAAACTACATACGAATAAGAAGGATTCGATCTTTATTTAAAGATTTTGTATTATTTCGGATTTTGTCGGATTTTCGGTGCCTCTTTTGGACTTTAGCAAATTTCCTTTCATTGAATATAAACGAGAAAAAACAACACAAGTGCCTTTCGAAACAATGCATTTTTAATATCCTTGCTTCCTATATCAAAATATGAGTTTTTATAAAAGGTGGACCTTGCAAATTTTCACTCTAGGCTAGCGATTGATGTTTTATATATATACAAGTGTAATATGAATACAATAATCTTATGTACATACAAAAGGGTAAACAAACTAATAAATTTTGCAATATCACTGACAATAATTCAGTCCAAAAACTAAACACAAAATACCTGTAGATTTTAGTCACACGTAGAAATGAGTAACGAATGATATTTGAATGAAAAGTTGAAAAATATATTTAAAAAAAAATACAGTCTAAATTCGGACGAACCGATCATTAAATACCCAGTGCACGTATTAAATATAGTTTTTCACCTTAACCTCAAGGTTTTGCTTTTATGTGGCAAGTACAATAATTATACCGAGTTTGGTACAAATTTATCGAACGGTTACCGAGATACACATATCGAACACCGTTTTCAAAAGAGACATAACTCAAAATTACCCGTTCTCCAGAAAATGCGAAAAACTATTTCTTAACACATGCTAATCATATGGGCAAGGAAGACTTTACCTTAGGGGTTTTCAACAATTTATAGCCAAAATTTACTCCAACTTTTGCTGAAAGGTAAATAAAACCACTGTGCACATTTTTAGTGCATAATTTCGAAAATGCCAAATTTTGAGTTGTGTCACTTTTGAAGATCGTATGCGATATGTACTCTGTACCGCACCCCTTTTAAAAATTGTTTGTCATAAACTTTTTTTTTGCTAAATAGTTATTACAAACATAAATTTTGAATAAATTAGCTTCAGTATACATATACTCATTTATCCAATATTTCGTACTTCCCCAAATAACCGTTTTATGGGATGCGTGGCTACGCCCATTTTCCGAAAAATTATAATATTCTTATTTCTCGCCTAAAAATAATTGTAACTATCAGTTTTGAGTAAGCTTCATTTACTTAAATATCGCAGTTTTCGTATTTCTGAAAGCTACCGTTTTATGGGAGGTAGGAGTGGTTATTACCCGATTTTGCCTATTTTAAATACCGTCCTACGCTCAAAAGAAGCATGCATATGTACATACCAAGTTTCATTAGGATATCTCAATTTTTACTCGAGTTATCGTGTGCACAGGCAGAAGGACGGACGGACGGACAGACAGTCACCGATTTCTTTCTTCATTCCGGGCATTTATGTATCTATTTCGATTCGTTTTGGCTGTTACAAACAACCGTTGTGTGAACAAAGTTATAATACCCTTGGGCACAAGTGCGCTCGGGCAAAAGAAGTAAAAATAATCACGTGCTGATTTAATCGTAGTTACGTTTGTAACGTATACGACCCGTAGCACCATTACCAGTCTCATAACACGCTTACTCGCACGCCTTAACAAAATTCATATTATTTAAAAGGAATTAAATATTGGCTTCGGAGAGTTTCACACAGTATTCGTTATGCACATATACATATATGACTTTCCTCATATATATAACAATTTTAGAATTAATTTCGACTTTGCGAATAAAAATTGTAAGAATGGAATTTTAGTTTCTCAAATCATTGTAACACACTAGTTTTATTATATTAGATTCGTTCATTTTGGCAAGAAGAATAGTTTCCCTGTTAAACTAGAATTTTTTGAATACACTTTAATTAATTATTAGATAAAAATAAATCCTAAAATTTCAGAAAATTACAATGGCTCCGACAGATATTCTGCATGCTGCCATTTTTTTTTTATTCGGGTGTTATTTGATGTCAACGTCCATTGCCTCTATTGTATTCATGTATTCTATTTGAAAGCTTCCCAAAGTTATAAAAAAAAAATTATGAATTTTTCGAGTGGCAATGAAAAAGTTAGTAATTTTGGTATTTTTCGCTTAAATAAACATTTTAAGGCTAAAATTGTTCAAATTCTTGATCTATTTTTTATTGTACTTGTTTCTATCTATTGAAGGCCTTACTCTCATAACCGGCATTTACTCTAATAGCATTGTGGATAAGTGTAAAAAAACCAGGCCTATTCCTATTGTGTACAGGAACTGGCTGGTTACAGGAGAATCGATAAAACGATATGTCGAATTTTTCTTGTGAGATACGTATTGTCGTACCAGGTTCTTAAAAAAACCACAGCAATAAAACTTTAAATAAATATCTGTCATTTGGCCCAAGAAGTAAAAATCTATAGGAAATGCATATCTAATGCCAGCAATAAAATATTTACATCAGGTTCTGGTAAAGACCAACGTACATTTTCTTGATCTACTATCAAAAGGCAAGCTTCTTTCAACAAAATTGACTCGGGTTATGATTGTTCAGCGTCAACTAACTCAAAACTTTGCTCGAAGCACAAAGCGAATGCACGTACCTAGATAGGTATGTATGAAATAATATCGATAAGCTATCGTCATAAATGTGGAAACAAAAACTCAGTCCAATTCAAAAGAATATGTAAATGTATTGGGTCAGGTAAATTTTTTTGACTATGCGCTTATAGGATAGCAGGGTTCTTGCCAAATTGCGAAAATAGGTTTTGAAGAAATTGTGAACATTTTCACTGTTGTACCATCTGGTGGAAGAAAAAGCTCCTTATAGCATGTATACAAAATTTTAGCACTTCTTTACGACACTACACCCTAAAAATTGCATGCAAATCTACCACTGAAAGCGTCTTCTTTTCAACTAGAATCTGTGCTAATATAAGCATAAGTTGCTCAAGATTTTGTTTTTAACATGAGATTTGTAAAACATTCACGTAAATGTATACACGAAATGTTAAAAATTGCTAAAATTTTAAACTAAATATACATTTTGTACTAAGAATCAATAAGCTTTAGTTGATCATATTTACTACGCAACAAATCTGGTATGCAAAAGTAAACAGGCAGTGTTTAATTTTATCACATGGTTTGTAAATTTGCACACATTAGGAGAGGAAAATGGTTATCTCTCTTTTTATGCACAAATTTAAACAACATTTTTTTTAGTGAAAATTTATAAATCAAATAAATTTTAGACATTTTATGTGTAAACTGTGAAAATTTGAACGTTGAGTGTTTAGAATTCAACAAACAAATTTGGGATTTGTTCTACGCCACACATATGGCAAGTAAAAGTAAACAAGCAGTGTTTAATTGAATTAACATGGTGTTCAAAATTGCATTTAGTAAAGGAGGAAACTGGTTACCTCTCTTAATATGCGCAAATTTAAATAAATTTTTTTTATAGTCTACAGCAAAATGCTAGAAACCTATTTTTGCAATTTGGCAACTCCAAATTGATTTCAGACTAATGGTTATTCAGAAAATTTGCTTAGAATTGCACGTGGAATCCTTCTGTGCTATACGCCCATAGTCGAAAAAATCTCCCATACAAATGTGTATACTGATTTGTTACTTCCTGAGGAAATCTAAAAATGTAGTTTTCATTGTCTCTACGGTTCATCCTTCGTTCAAATAACTAATGAACAATATAGATGTAGGTTTATTATAAGTTTTTCCTTCTTTTAAAGATGCCGAAGCGATACTTCGAACTCTTAAAGTGAGAAATATTGCATTCTAAATTGCTCACAAGTAATTTTTTATTAATCATATTGGGAAACAACGCGGGTGACCTGCCCTATATGTATGTACATATTCATATTCATACTCATAAATATATGCATGTATATAAATAAATAGGTATTTCCATATGTATATGCATAAGTACGTAAACATCTTTCAAGTAACATAAACACCTACCTCCTGTAGAATGCGTCGTAGCCGCAACAGCTGCTTCTTAAATTGCAGCACGTCCTGAATCATTGCATTGCGAAATGATTTATCATACAGCATTAGGTCGTCCGACGAACTGTGCGAATCGCGATAAAGTTGCGAGTAATGATGTTGAAAGTGCTTTTGATGATGGAAATTACTACTGGTCGGTTGTGAAGCATTCGTCGAAGACGTGGAAGCGTTTGATGCGCGCGAGGTGGCAGCACTACGTCGCAGGCTATGTGTTGATTTGGAGCTATCAGAATCTGCGCCGCCGCCAGAGGTTCCAGCAGCACCAGCATTCGCCGATAGACCACTGGCATTAGAAGCAGGGTATTGTTGTTGTTGTAGACGCGAGCGGTTTAGTAGACGTGTTGCACGAGCAGGCAAATGAGCGCTAAAATGAGCAAAAGAAATAAAGAGCGGTTTAGTTTATAGGAAACAGAGTTACATTTAGTTAACTAGAAAAATAAAGACTTAATTTTAAGGAGTTCTACTATATTCATTCTCAAACTAAAAAGGCAGTTCGTACAAACATATTTTACTTCTACAAATTCTAATATTTCTTCTCTGTCATTTCGCTTGCACCTCAGATATGTGGCGTTCGCGTGCGGCGCACTAGTTGACAACACCGTTGCAGCTGCACAGTGACACCAACAATTGCACGATGCAGCACGTAACGTTGACGTCGACTTGTTTGCTGTTATTGCTCTTGGCATTGCAACAGCAACAGTTGGGGAAGTTCGCCTTGAACTTTGTTGCTTATGCGGATGGGTGGCATGAGGCAGGTATGATTTATATACGCCGTGCGGAGAGTATGACGTATGCGAAGGTGTGTGAGGGGTAGTACTTTGTGTTGCATACTGTATTAGTTGTGTACTGCCACATGTGGCATGCTTTATTGTGATTGGTGACGAA